AGGGTGTATGAAGGGACCTCCCCTCCACACACATCACCATCCCTGCTGGTTCATACCTGGAACTTTGGATGTTTGGGTGGGAGGTCTGAAGGATGAATCTGCCCAGGTTAGTCCACATGATTGGAAGCCCAATGTGTGAAGGTATAGAGCTTGCAAGTGAGTCCCATGGAAGTGTTATGGATGGGGTTGGTTGGGTCTTGAGGAGAAATAGGAGGAGCTCGGGAGTTGGAGATTGATGACTCTGGGGAGCGTTCTAGTAGGCTTGGGGAGGTGAAATTGGGATCCCAAGAGGTGTCTGAGCCTGGGGAGGAAACTAGTAGCTTGTGGAATAGAGTTTGTGGATCTAAAGGTCAAGGTCAAGGAACCCTGGACAGTTAAATCCAGGCAAAGGCAACTATGGGGTTGTGGTGCTCATCTCGCTTTCAGGCCAGGGGAGCCGTCATTTGTCCACAGACATGCTGGCCACATGACCAAACTGCTTCTGGTGCAATGGAACACCATGATAGAAACCAGATGGCATGGAAACGCTGTTTACCTTTGCACCACAGCAGTACCTATTTATCTACTTGCACTGGCGTGCTTTCAAACTGCTAGGTTGGCAGGAGCTGGGACAGAGCAACGGGAGCTCACCCTGTTGTGGGGATTTGAACCGCCAACCTTCCAATCAGCAAGCCTTAGAGGCTCAGTGGTTTAGACCACAGTGCCACCCGCGTCCCTGCTAGACCCACTCCTAGACCCGTGTGGATCTAGGAGTGGGTTGGCAAAGGAATGTTCTGACCCTGTGACATTGGACACCCCTAGTCAGATACCTCCTGCTATGGAGCTGCCCCTGGCATCTCCTCCTGTTAGTGAAGAGCCTCCTCCTTTGGGGGAGGTGACTGAGAGTAAATCAGAGTCCAGCACTAGCACCGCTTCCATCTCCAAGGACACAGAGACACCAGCGCTGGTGCAAAGAAACCTCACAGACCCAACCTGCTCAAAGGAGTTCCTGCTTGTTTGCCCAGTCCTGAGACTTTGGCCACTTACTGTGCTCACCCCACCCTTTGAAAGAAGGGTGCAGGGGGCATGTTGCTTCTTGGATCAATGTCTTAACTTGGCATTCATCCATCTATCTGCATCTTGTAACCTTTGCCTTGCCCTATGTATTGATCTGATTTATGCAATGAAGTCTTTGGAAGAAACTGAGCTGGGAGTTTGACTTCTTTGTCTGGCAGAGAGGGTCAGGACATTGGTAATACCTCCCTTCAACACATGCTTTGAATGAGTATAAAGCTAATTTAGGCATGTGATTTTGAACTGTAGGCTGCATCATAGGCCACTTATGAAGTGGAGATGGATCCTTAAACATCTTCAGCTGCAAGAGTGACTTGTGCGGATGGTCTCAGGTCTTAAAGCTTTAACGTGGGAAGCACCACTGAGAAGATCTTTCAGATCCACATGTTATGAACTGGGCTGCATCATTATTTTCCAAGTAGATCTGTGGCTTCATTTAAGGCATATTTAATCAATTCCCACTTGGCCTACTGCAGTCAATAAGTATGTGAGATTTGACAGTCAAGATCATTAGGACGATGGTTTGTTTATCATGTTGACTAGGTGCTTAGATTATCAAAGTGATAAGTGACTCTGAACCACTCTAGGCAGCAGAGACGGTAATCGGATAATGAGGTTTAATCAAAAACAGGTGGCAGCTGGATAATATTGGTGATGGCAAAACTTTATAAAGTTAAAATCTAACTCACCAAGCTGTGTTGGGCTATCTTAAAAATAATAACAGTAGGATTCCAATAATAACAATTCCATATCCATGACTCCAGAGACAAAGAACAGGATGAAATAAAGGATAAGATTCTGTTGGTTTGAGGGGATGCATTCAGTTTTTCTCTCCATGCAACCAAAACCTCAGAATAGATAAATACCTCATGGGCAAAGACATGGGGACTAACAGCCAGGAGAAAATATCAGACTATGTTAGATCATATGAGCCCAAGCAGAGACCTAGATAGCATCGTCTGTACTTAGAAATCTGTCACAAACAATTGGTGTCTTGGCTCCCCTGAGGCTGTGTTCCAGGAAAACACAAACTTCTGAAACTTCTGGAAAGGTATTGCAACATAAAGCTGGTGTAAGGGTGTGTGTGTGTGTGTGTGTGTGTGTGTGTGTGTGTGAGAGAGAGAGAGAGAGAGAGAGAGGTGGATATTGAAGAGAAATATATATTTGAGAACAAGAAAGTAACTGAGGTTGCTTCACACATTATTTTCTTATCAACTGAAGCTCCATGGCAGCCTTTTTTATTAGGACCACATTCACACCATACATCTAAAGCACTTTGAATGGTCATGGCTTCTCCCAAAGAATTATGAAAGCTGCAGTTTGTTAGGGGTGCTGAGAGGAGGCATAGATCCCCTTCCCAGAGCTGCAGTTCCCAGAGTTACCTGTGAACAGAAAAATTACTCTAGAAAATTACTGACTTGAACACCTGCACATGACACACACCCTAATGCCAGCAGAACTAGATAGCCTGAGCTAGGGGGGCTTCTGTCTCCACAACTAGCCAAGCCTCTGTCTCGACTGCCGAATGCTGGACAAGGCAGCTCAGCCTCAAGAATCTGTGGGCTGGAATATCGCTGCTGCCATGATGGAGTAAGTAACCCCTCAGTGGGGTATGAATTTGCTCAAGAGGCCCCAGGCAGTGGACTACTGTGAGGCTCCTGCTCTAAGTTCTGTTGGTGCAGACAAGAGCAAGTAGGTTTCCCTCTGTGACAGGCCTTTGCCATGAGTCTCTATGGAGCATTAGGGATCTGGGGCTGGAGCCCGTCAACATTGTGCTGCTCTTCTTGGAGCACTTCCCTTTGCCGAGCTTGAGCACTTGCTCAGCACCCAGCCTTAGCACCTAAGCACTTATTGTTCCCTCAGCCAGACCTCAATCACCATAGCTAAGCACTAGGAAGAGCCCAGGTCACCGCAGCAGCAGGAGGAAGAAGAAGAGGAGAGTGACCTGTTGCCATGGCTCAGACTGGCCGGTCTCGATGTTCTCGATGTTGGATATTACTTGCTCTCCGACAGCCTTTGCATCTGAGTGATCCACCTGGGAAGGAAGAGTGTCTGAGGAGCACCACCTTGATATTTAATGGTATGGCAGCATAATAACATTTCTATAAATAAAATAAACAAACTACCTTTTTGGGGTTGCATCCCTAAGCATACACATTGGGAAGCAGAGTAGTAGTGGTAGTAGTAGTAGTAGTAGTTTGGACTTGATATCCCACCTTTCACTCCCCTTAAGGAGTCGCAAAGCGGCTAACATTCTCCTTTCCCTTCCTCCCCCACAACAAACACTCTGTGAGGTGAGTGGGGCTGAGTGACTTCAGAGAACTGTGACTGGCCCAAGGTCAGCCAGCAGCTGCATGTGGAGGAGCGGGGAAGTGAACCCAGTTCACCAGATTACGAGTCCGTCGCTCTTAACCACTACACCATTAATCTTGGTAAGATGCTTTTGAGTAAAAATCATGAAAGGGAAGGGGCTTTTATGAAACTTGTTGAAGGTAGGTTTGTTTGGGAATCTGTCTTAATTCTTTTCTCATCTTTCAAGACTCATTCTTTCTCACACACCTTTTGGGGTAGAGAGGAGAGGGGAGGGTCAAGATATATCATTTCAATTTTTTTCTTTAAAAAAATTAGTTGTGGACCTGTGAAAAAATCAAAAGCTTCTGGAACACAGTGTATGACGAATGTAAAAAAATGTTTAAGTATAACTTTATGAAAAATACAAAAGCTTTTCTACTAGGGATAACGGACACAGAGAAGATCAGAAAATATTCCTCTATGCCACAGGAGCAGCAAGGATCCTAATTGCTAAAAACAGGGCCGGGGGGGGGGGAACTGTGCCAACAAAAAAGGAATGGCAAAATAAACTGTTAGAGTATATTGAACTGGCTAGATTAACAGAGGCAATTAGAGATCACACTAGACAAGAGTCTCAAAAAGCATGGGGAAAATGCAGAGAATACTTCACAAAACAATGCCCTAAAATACATACGTGGATTTGTTTTGATTAATGTCTGCAGGAGACTTTGTGGATATTTAAGTTATAATTAGGGAAAAAAACTTAATAATTATTCATAAAGGAAACAGTTTATAAGAAGTAAATAAGGAGGCCAGATACAGAATAAAGGAAGTCTTTTATTCGGTTGTTTTTATTGTTGTATGTTATGCTCACTGTATGTTATGTTCACGTTTAATGAGGGTGGATTTGTGTATTGGGGGGGTGGGGGTTTGTGTTATGTTGTAAATAAAATTCCATTTTTTTAAAAAAAAAAATTAGTTGCATTTGAGTAAACCTGGTTAGATGTTATAACAATTCATTTTACACCATCAGGGGATTAAATGTCAACAGTAAAGATTTCCAGAGAAAGATTGGCTCACTAAGCACTCTTTGAAAGAAGCTTCTGTGCCATCGATTTCATCACAGTCCTCTGAAAATCACTGCTGCATCTAGCAACCAGTCCATAGCTTAGTTTCTGCCTGAGACTGAAATGGCAGGAGAAGCAACAGTAACATTCACTGTTTTAGCAGTCTGTCAAATCACTCCTGTCAAAGAGCTTATTTCCCTCAACCTGAAAATACCATGACTCCCCCCGCCGCTTCTTTTACTTAAAGGGCAGACTTCCAGTGAATTTCGTTGCACAAAGGTGACACTTCCTTTCGCTTAACAGATAAGACAGGTATGGTTTTTTTAACCTAGTTATTTTCATCTTGATTTTATTTTAAGTGCAATGAATAACTGTGAGATTTCTACAGCATCCGGAGCATTGTTAGTTGACAGGTCTTAAGCACTCTGTTTCTGTGGAGTCCTCTGCAACTTTAAAACCTGACACAATAACTAACATATGGCACATTCCTTATTATAGGTGTCAGACTGCTGCAGAGCAGAGCTTGTGCTGCCTACATTGAAAATGCCACCCAGTCTGAAATTCTAGTCTAGAAGCAAATTGCACTTGGCTCATTATTAACCATGTAAATGTACACTTTCGCTAGCTGAACACCATGTCTTCTGCGTCGCCTTGTGCACATAGAAAGGTGCGTTGGAAAGTGTTGCGTTATTTGTGCCTATCATGGCGTTCCTTCTCACTTTGTCATGGGTACTTTATTCTCTGCATCTCTGAATGGTCACCTGGGTGGGAACCAGAGGAACAGAAGAATAAAGCAGTTGATCAGTCCAAAGGTCTATCTAGTCCAACATCCTGTTTGCAGGATAGACCTCAGCTATGGTCTTGGCTATGGTGGCAGGAGTGTGTGTGACACCATTCTAAATTTCACACAATGCCCACACAGGTAAAATGCATAAATGCTCCAGGAGCTGGCCATACATCATAACAAGCAAACCCTTCCTGGGGAATTATACAGAGAAAAAGATAGATTACTCACCTCGCCACCACACACGTAAGTTCAAGGGACCAGCTATTTCCCCTCATACAATTCCCTAGGAAGGGATTGTACAAAATGGCCAGTTCTTGGAACATTTTAATATATATCTATTTTTCTCATATGGTGCATTTAGAGCAGCTTGTCCCCCCCCCCCATCCCCCAAGAAACAAGCAGTTCTTGGGTCGCTTCACAATCACTCTTAGTTGTTGGATTGTGTGCAGAAAGATTTAGTATTGTGGGATGTCAGATCATTAAAAAAAAAGAAAGATAATTTAAAGGACCCCTGGACAGTTAAGTCCAATCAAAGGCGATTATGGGGTTGTGGCGCTTATCTTGCTTTTAGGCCAAGGGAGCCAGCGTTTGTCCACAGACAGTTTTCCAGGTCATGTGGCCAGCATGACTAAACCGCTTCTGATGCAACAGAACACAGTGCCTGGAAACACCATTTACCTTCACACCACAGTGGTACCTATTTATCTACTTGCACTGGCGTGCTTTCGAACTGCTAGGTTGGCAGGAGCTGGGACAGAGCAACGGGAGCTCACCCCGTCACAGGGATTCGAACTGCTGACCTTCCGATCAGCAAGCCCAAGTGTTTCAGTGGTTTAGACCACAGCACCACTCGCATCCCTATCAGTATTGTCTACTCTACACTGGCTAACAGCAGCTCTCCAGGGTTCTCTCCCAGTCCTGCCTGGAGTTGCTGGGAATTGAACCTGGGAGCTACTGCAGGCAAAACAATTGAGTGATGCCCCTCCCCAAAGTTCATAGCTATGAGGGCCATTCCACATATCTGTTTTCTGATCTGTGCACTCATATCCAGGTGAGGCGAATAAGGCGAGTCTGTTCACAAATGCAAAGTGAATGAAAGCCTCTCCCATTCCTAACTTCAATAAGTAAATTCATAAATAGAGATCTGTGACTAATCTTGGATAGTAATGTGCCTCGTGCCCACAACTGTTTCTTCCCCTTAAAAATATTTTATGAAGAGCTTTGTAAAAGGCTTTTTTGAAAATTCACCGTGAATTATGTATGCGTTCACTCCCCATTATTCTCTGTTGTCGGCTTAACTTTCCTATTCCTTGTAGAAAATGGTTTATCTCCTGCCCAGAATCTTTGGGCAAAACTGATTTGATCTTATCCAAATTCATAATGGTTATAATTAAGGTGCACATTATAGGAATAGACATTAAAACCGTGTGTGGTCGATACTTGACTTAATCTCCTCTACAGGAGTCAAAGCAAACACTAGTAAACAAATGCAGAAGTGTCACATCAGGTAAGATTACCGGTATATGCTTTGTTTTTGCTTAAAGCAAGAACATCTACCCCCTCCCCCCCGGTGAGTCATAATTTGGATTGAAGAAAAAGCGTAAATAAAGTGTTAATAAGTGAAAAATCCTATGTGGGATTAGAGACAAATCTCTCAAGTTGTTGAAGCCCATTGCTATAGTTCCAAACGTGTTCTGAGATGCAAAATCTTTTAAACAACTCCATGGCAGAATGATAAAATATGCTGCAGCCATAATGTGAATGTTAAAACATAAAGAATGTTTTAATCAGAAAATGAAAGTTAAGGGAAATGAAAGGGACAGGATGGGATATGAATAAAATGCATGCATAACAGTTGAAGATGGTTTACTTCATTGATGGCCTGTTCCAAAAGATCAACTGCAGAACAACCAGGTATAATTTTGGGCGCTGCATAAAGAATGCTCAAGGGATTGGATCACTGCAAATTCTGAGTCAAACTGACCTGAGTGTCATCTCCCAGACAAATGTATGGTTTGGAATTCAGAACTTGGCTATCTTCTGTTTTCGAACTTTCCAGATGTTCTGGTTCAATTGTCAGCTAAGAAGAAGGATAAACATGCATGTAAAATGCATATTTTAAGTGAATATACATTTAGAATAGTGTACTTGGATAGAAAATACATTTACTTTGCGGTCTTATGGTCCCTAGGAGAGTATTTCAGTGGTCATAAGATAAAACAGACCTCCCTCTCAGTGAGCAGAGAATTTTTTTTGTTATATTAAGTTCCCTCCCTGCCACTGTAGCCCCAACTCTCTCTGTCTCCCTTCCAGCAGGCTGCCAGGGAAGGGGCAGGTTGCTCTTGACAGAGGTCTGAAGTGATGCTCATTATACTTGCTCATTACAAGGACAGCCCTGATGATTATCTAGAATTTGCACCTCAGCTGCATGCTGGAAGGTTCTTAAAGGGCCAAACCTTCCATTATGATGCCTTTCTGAATCTGCTGCTATCTCAGGAGAAGGGATGATTGGGAGAGAATTTGCAGGTAATTGGAGAAGATAGCTCAGGCTCTATTGTTGAGAGGTCCAAGCTGCTTGTTAAGCATAATTGGTTTAATTGCTTCTGAGATGGGAATGCCTGTGTGAATTGGTGAAAGGGTTTAACTGGAAGATTCCATTGAAGCTAAAGAACAGCAAGAATCTCTCTCTCTCTCTCCCTCTCTCTCTCTCTCTCTCTCTCTCTCTGAGCTTTAACTGGTTAATAATTATCTGATGTTGTTCTCTAGCAGCTAACATGTGAGTGTTTAACCTTAGATCATGTGAAAAGTATTGAATTGCTAATTTGCCATCTTAGAAGGGTGGTGGCTAGTTTCTTTGTTCTCAAGCTCTTTGAGAGTGAAGATATAAATGAAGATCTCCAGCTAAGCAGCCTAAGACAAGATGCAGGCTGAAATGCAGGCAATGGACCCTCAGAAAGACACACAGAGAGAGCTATGTTTGTCAGCTCTGATTATAAGTTTATTTTATTTCTAAGATGCTGAGCCTGTGCAAGACAGCCCGAGACATTTTATAGACATTTTGGATGTATCTTTGATGTTTCAGTTTTGTTTTGAAGAAACAAAGTTCTGCCAGTAAAAGTTTGAATAATATCTAATCAGCCTGGGTAATGTTTTTATTCCAAAATGACTCAGCTTTTATGCTTCAAACTGTGCAATATTAATATTGGCAATACTGCTGACTTCAGAGGCATCCATCCTCTTCCTCTTGAAAGGCTAAGAACGTAAGATGAGCCTCTTGGATCAGACCAGTTGCCCATCTAGTCCAGTATCCCATTCTCACAGTGGCCAACCTGTAGGAAGTCTGTAAGCTGGATATGATCACAAGAGCCCTCTGTTTACCTGTGACTCCCAGCAGCTGGTACCCAGAGGCATAATGCAGAGTATCTTATTGCACAGTGGGTAGGCTTGAAAAATAAAGGATTTCTGAGACAGGCACCTGCTTTTCAAGATTACCATATCATGTGTTTTGGGTCATCTGAGGCTTGCCTACTTCCCAACAAGGCAATGCCTTTTACAACTTGGCTGAGAGACGGCTTTTCATTACAGAGCTGAGGTTTCGGTAGTCCTGAGGGCACATATCTATACACTGATTGACTAGACTTCAGAATTTCTACCTAAGGCCGAACCCTTCCCCTCTCCAAGATTCTGTACAAAAATAATAAAGCTTCTTTGCTCCAGCACAAAACATTGCTCTGGGATTTCTCACTGTACATATAAATTGGATGGTAAATTTTAAAAGAGGTTGATACCAGCAGGGTAAGTGTTGCAGCTGAAAAAAGCACCTGGGAAATGTTTGCATGTAGGGGTTGTCACCATTTCCAGAGGCATGGCTGTGTTTGTTTCATCTTGCATCTGATGAAGTGGGCTGTAGTCCATAAAAGCTTATGCCATAATCAAACTGGGAGTCATAATAAAAAGGTTTGCCTTAGATTATCGACAAGGGTAGGAAGTTGTCTTATTACACATCAGGCCATTGGTTTATCTAGCTCAGTATTATCTAGACTATAGGGATGTGGGTGGCGCTGTGGTCTAAACCACTGAGCCTTGGGCTTGCAGCAGTTTGAATCCCCGTGACAGGGTGAGCTCCCATTGCTCGGTCCCAGCTCCTGCCAACCTAGCAGTTCGAAAGCACAAAGTGCAAGTAGATAAATAGGCAGCGCTCCGGCAGGAAGGTAAATGGTTTTTCCATGCACTGCTCTGGTTCACCAGAAGCAGCTTAGTCATGCTGGCCACATGACCCAGAAGCTGTACGCTGGATCCCTCGGCCAGTAAAGCAAGATGAGCGCCGCAACCCCAGAGTCGTCCACGACTGGACCTAACGGTCAGGTGTCCCTTTACCTTGATTATCTAGACTGGGTACATGCATGCACACAGATCTACAATTTCTAGATACCTGAGATGAATGTTGCTATAGAACAGCTGGTCATGGAAATGATCAGTGCTCAGGTCCCGTTAAGTATAATGGTTTGACACAAAAATGAAAAATGGCTAAAGACATATTGCAGAAAGTTTGACATGGGGTTTTTCCAGGGGGCTATATTAAAGCCAAGGAGAGCTCTTGTTCAGCTCTTGTTCAGTTAATGATTAACTAACTGATGGTTGTTTCTCTGGTAGCTAACATGTCAGTGTTGCAACTTTAGATCATGTGGGAGGTATTAGGTTGCAAAATCTCCATTTGGAAGGGAATTGCTTTTGAGTCTTTTCTCCCAATATAATGGAGTGAAGACGTAAAATGAAGCTCTCCCATATTTTGTAAGATGCTGAGCCTGTGCTGGACAGCACAAGACATTGTATGGACATTTTGGATGAATCATTTACAGTACTGTATTCTGGTTTATTTTAAAGAGTTCTGCCAGTAAAAGTTTGAATAGTACTTTTGTGGGTCTGGACAATGATTTATCCCCAAAGGAGTCAGTTCTTGTGCATCCAGTCACTTCAAGCTGTGCAATATTAATATCTACAACAGCTCCTGCTTGTAGACTTCCTATAGGCACCTGGCTGGCTGCTGTGAAATCAGGATACTGGACTAGGTGGGCCATTGGCCTGATTCAACAGGTTCTTTTTACATTCTTATGGCTTAATCTTAAGTGGTCCCTATGACCTACTGTGACATAGGAGCCAACTCCTAGGGGTCACGGAGGCTTCAGCCTCCACAAGAAAATATTTGCAGGGGGCGGGCCCCCACAAAGTTAATGGGCATTCCCATTCACATGGTGTGTGTGCACTGTGTCATGTGATCAATTATGTGGGCAGGGGTTACCTGGGCCCCAACGATATTTTATTCAAGTTGGCACCCCTGTGCTGTGAGATGTGGCTGTTTGCCATGCATGTCCCAATTCTGAATTGACCATTGGCAACTGGTTGGCCACTGTGATAACTGAATGCTGGACTAGATGGGATGCTGGTCTGATTCAGACGTTTACACTCACTGGCAACATCTCTCCAGAGTTTCACATAACAATCTTTCCTAGCCCTACCTGGAGATGCAGGGACTGAACCTGGGAACCTCTGCATTCAAAGTAGATGCTTTGAGACTAAGCTAGAGGCCCTGAACTGCTGCAATGCTCCATTGTTTCAGTATGATGCTATATGGAGTCTAGAAGCCGAGGAAGATAGCTGAGGATATTTGGGCACTGTGCTGATCAAAGCCACTAAAAGCATGGAGAGTATATTTCAATGTTAGCAATAATAATTCTTGTATAATAAAACTGGAATACCATCAGGTTGTGGACAAAGGGTTATGTGCATAGTTAATGAATTAACATTTCAGCCTGTAGGCTGAAAGACACGGTTTCTACCTTGTAAGCCTGAAACACCTTGGAGTCATTATTGTCCCTGTTGACATGCTTTTGTAATAGCATAATTTGCATTTTCAAGGAAAACCAAATGTTCCATATAGTCTTAAAGATGTAATTTAATTCATATCGTTTTCAGGAGGTACAAGCAATGCTTAATGGAACAATATGTGCAAGCATAAAAATAAAACTTTCATGAGAGAGAGAGAGAGAGAGAGAGAGAGAGAGAGAGAGAACACAAGAGTTTAGCTCTGGAGTGCTGGAAGATTCCATTATTTAGATATCTAACCTTCATGTAAAGCAAAGATTTCTCTTCACATTTTCTCTTTCCAGGTAGTTCCTTACACCAGGCCCATCTGCCACTCCACTTTCCATTTCATATATATATATATATATGGATCCTGAACTCCCATATATAATATACAATAGGAGAGAAAGCAGAAAAACCATACAATCCCTCAGCAACATTGCAATATTCTTTAGAAAACAGGGTATCTTGGGCTGCATGGTTGTAACAAAGGTGCCAAATCTCTTGAAAATTGTAACCCTGTACCATTGACTTTAAGTAGTCCACACATTACATATATTGGGGGTTATCAGGCTACAGGCTGCTGCCAGTCAGAGCAGACAGCACTGAGCTACATGGACCAATGGTCTGACTCAGTATAAGGCACCTTGTCATGTTCCACAGCATCTCCAGTTTCTACTGTGTGTCTGAAAGCCAGGTTTTCCTCAGTTAAAAGTCTCATTTATAAATGCTCACTGTGCAATTCACATACAAATTTGTCTCTTAATGCATCATTAAGCCCCTTCCTTGAAGTCACAGTGTTAGGAAAGCCTTTTCTAATCCTGCTGCAAATGAGGAAGCAGATTCACCTTCAAGCTTGTGCCTCTTGTAAAATCGGAAACCTAATCAGGGGTTTTGGTGATATGCGCTGCTGAAGTATTTGCAACTTTCTTTTGGAAAGCTCTGCTCACAGGCTTCTGTGGAGCAGTTAAAATATTGCACAAGACTGTAAGATATTCCTCCCATAATACTAAGCAATGCTGCTACCCCTTCCCTGCCCAGGAGATTCTCATTTATGTAAATAAACTTCTGCAGGCTTTCTAAGTATTTAGGTTTTTCTTCCACAGCCCTTCCACAAAGGTTAACATGGTCTGTCACATCACAATGCTTCATAGTACTTTGAGAGTTATGGTGAACTGTGGTCTACACAGATTAGACCCAATGAAATTAATGGGTGTAAAGTAGTCATGTCTGCTCATTCCAACAAGTAGAATTAACACCTAAAGCAATCCAGAGTCCTGTTGCATGCAAGATTCTGAATCGTACTTTTGTCACCAATTATAAGAAATTTGGCTTGGCTCACACCTTTTATTTTATTATTTATTAAATTTGTATACTGGCCTATACCCACAGGTCTCAGGGCAGTTCTCAAGATAGAATCGTGATCTAAAACCACAAAATACATAATCAAAATATGAATGTGAATAATCTGAATGTGAATCTAACAAATCTGCACTTCCTGAAACGACAGAGGACTGAAAATGCAGTTAAAATGCTGTCAGAATTATTTGAAATTCACACTTGTCTATATTTTACAATGCAGTTTTCCAACCAAATAACGTGTAAAAAAAATGCATATGTTACGGGCAACGTATTTAAAAATGCATGTGTAAGTAACATACACAAATGCACAATACTAGGGGAAATTGCTTGCAAAAAATGTGCATGTTAGGAGAGATGCTGTGGCGTTTGCCCGTTCTTTTGGAAATGTCTGCACAGGGGGAGAGAAAGGGTTAATAGGTAGACCAATAGAAAAGCCCAGAGGCGGAGCCTACCTGTTTTTAAAAGGCTTAGCCAGAGGTTTAGACAGTTGGGAAAAAGGAGTTGGCAGACAGTTGGAAATAGATAGACAGACAGTGCTGTTGGTTCTTGTGTGAGGGGAGGTAGAAGAGTTAGAGACAGGATAAAATAAGACTAAGAGGGTAAAGGGTAACAGCGTTTTGAATGCATTTAAAGTTTATTTGTGTTTGCAATAAACGACAATCTTCATTGTTAACTTGAGAACCCGACTGAGATTAAGTGTTTTACCAGGGAGAACATGGTTGGTGGCAGCGGATTAGTGGTGAACGGGTCAATAGTCCATGAAATGACCGGGGGCTCCGTATGAACGCCACAAATGCACACTAAAATGTGTCTGCATTTCAAGAGAAGTCTCCATTGGTGTCTATGGAGACTTTCCTGAAATAGAAAGAGCAGCTGCAGATAGGAGGTTGCTTACAAGATCCGAAAGTAATGTCCTATGTCCCTCCTGTTTTGTCCCATGTCCCTCATCCCTCTTCTGCTTCTTGAGATCCATTAACTGGAGATACTAACTGGAAACACTGTGGGAAAGGACATATCATATCTGCTTTGCATGCAGAAGGTATCACATTCAATACCCGGCATTTCCTGAAACCTTGAAAAGTTGTGACCACTCAATGTGGTCACACATTAGGGAGTTCATGATGGCTGGGAGTTTGTTAAGAGGGAGAAAGTAAAAGCACAACGTCAGGCAATACCAATGAGATGGAAACATGGAAGGTGCCTAAAGAAGCCAGGGTGGCTATCTAAAGAACTTTTAACTGAGTTAAGATTAAAAAAGGATGTGTACAAAAAATGGAAAAGGGGGGGAAACCACCAAAGAGGAATTCAAACAAATAGCCAGCACGTGTAGACACAAAGTCAGAAAAGCTAAAGCACAGAATGAACTCAGGCTTGCTAGAGAGGTTAAAAGCAACAAAAAGGCTTTTATGGGTATGTTCAGTAGCAAAAGGAAGAACAAAGAAACAGTGGGGTCACTCAGAGGAGAAGATGGTGAAATGCAAACAGGGGACACAGAAAGGGCTGAACTCCTCAATGCCTTCTTTGCCTCAGTCTTCTCCGATAAAGAAAACAATGCCCGACCTGAAGAATTTGGAGCAAATGATTCAGCAGAGGAAACACAGCCCAGAATAACTAAGGAGATAGTACAAGAATACTTGGCTAGTTTAGATGTATTCAAGTCTCCAGGGCCAGATGAACTGCATCCAAGAGTATTAAAAGAACTGGCAGATGTGATCTCAGAACCATTGGCAGTCATCTTTGAGAATTCCTGGAGAACAGGTGAAGTCCCGGCAGACTGGAGGAGGGCAAATGTTGTCCCTATTTTCAAAAAGGGGAAAAGAGAGGACCCAAATAATTACCGCCCAGTCAGTCTGACATCAATACCAGGGAAGATTCTGGAGCAGATCATTAAGCAAACAGTCTGTGAGCACCTAGAAAGGAATGCTGTGATCACCAATAGTCAGCATGGATTTCTGAAAAATAAGTCATGTCAGACTAACCTGATCTCGTTTTTGACAGAATTACAAGCCTGGTAGATGAAGGGAACGCAGTGGATGTAGCCTACCTTGATTTCAGCAAGGCATTTGACAAGGTGCCCCATGATATTCTTGTAAAGAAGCTGGTAAAATGCGGTCTTGACTATGCTACCACTCAGTGGATTTGTAACTGGCTGACTGACCGAACCCAAAGGGTGCTCATCAATGGTTCCTCTTCATCCTGGAGAAGAGTGACTAGTGGGGTGCCACAGGGTTCTGTCTTGGGCCCGGTCTTATTCAACATCTTTATCAACGACTTGGATGATGGACTCAAGGGCATCCTGATCAAATTTGCAGATGACACCAAACTGGGAGGGGTGGCTAACACCCCAGAGGACAGGATCACACTTCAAAACGACCTTGACAGATTAGAGAACTGGGCCAAAACAAACAAGATGAATTTTAACAGGGAGAAATGTAATGTATTGCACTTGGGCAAAAAAAATGACAGGCACAAATACAAGATAGGTGACACCTGGCTTGAGAGCAGTACATGTGATCTAGGAGTCTTGGTTGACCACAAACTGGACATGAGCCAACAGTGTGACGCGGCAGCTAAAAAAGCCAATGCAATTCTGGGCCTCATCAATAGGAGTATAGCATCTAGATGAAGGGAAGTAATAGTGCCACTGTATTCTGCTCTGGTCAGACCTCACCTGGAGTACTGTGTCCAGTTCTGGGCACCACAGTTCAAGAAGGACACTGACAAACTGGAACGTGTCCAGAGGAGGGCAACCAAAATGGTCAAAGGCCTGGAAACGATGCCTTATGAGGAACGGCTAAGGAGCTGGGCATGTTTAGCCTGGAGAAGAGGAGGTTAAGGGGTGATATGATAGCCATGTTCAAATATATAAAAGGATGTCACATAGAGGAGGGAGAAAGGTTGTTTTCTGCTGCTCCAGAGAAGCGGACACGGAGCAATGGATCCAAACTACAGGAAAGAAGATTCCACCTAAACATTAGGAAGAACTTCCTGACAGTAAGAGCTGTTTGACAGTGGAATTTGCTGCCAAGGAGTGTGGTGGAGTCTCCTTCTTTGGAGGTCTTTAAGCAGAGGCTTGACAACCATATGTCAGGAGTGCTCTGATGGTGTTTCCTGCTTGGCAGGGGGTTGGACTCGATGGCCCTTGTGGTCTCTTCCAACTCTATGATTCTATGAATGTAGGTGATTCTGAGCTAGACAGACCAATAGTCCAACTCATTATATAAAACACTTTCCAAATGATTGAACTTGAGACCATGTGCTCTTCCAGTGAGCTATAGCTCCATCAACCATTATAAGAGTATGCAAGCAGGAAGATCAGATCTAGTGTTCTCATTGTGCTAGGCTGTCCTTCTTATTTTCCATTCTTAAAATGGAAGCATTCCTTGTTCATATTACAGACAATTAATGTAATTTGTTTCTCCTGTAAAAAAGCAAAAACTTGGAGACATTTGTATTTCAATGGGGGAGAGGTTGGGCTGTTTTGTAATTGGATCGTTTAATGGTCTGGGCCAAAAGTGGGCCAGGTACTGTACTTCACATTAAATAAGACCTATTAAAATAAGTACACCTGAACCAGGACTCTGGTGAGATCAGTCATTTCAATATCCCTCATCAGCACTTTTCCAAAGCTGAGACTTTGCATGAGCTAGAATATAAGCTCTTTGAGTCAGCATAATGTGTCAGTTATATGTGAGTTCCCATAAATCTGTTTAAAGAGTAAGAGAATGGGAAGGCTACATCCTTGTGACATACTCTGCAGTTGCAAGGAGGTCTAATGTCAACACGCAGAAGGAAGGGTGGCAGTGATGGATTAACCTTTTCTGTTTCCCTTGTCTGAAAAGCGGAAACATCCCCCCTCCACCAGCTTCTTCCATCTGTGCACAGATGTGTAAAATAGAAAGCTGTTTTTGGTCTTAGGCCCTTGGATCTGAACTTGATGCAGAAAGCCAAGCAGACTTTGTAGAAGTCTCTTGAAGTTCACACAGAGATAGTAGCACCTTAGAGACCAACTAAGTTTGTTCTTGGCATAAGCTTTCGTATGCATGCACACTTCTTCAGATACCTGAAGAAGTGTGCATGCATACGAAAGCTTATGCCAAGAACAAACTTAGTTGGTCTTTAAGGCGCTACTGGATAATTTTTTTATTTTTTATAAAAAAATTGGTCGACTGTGTCAGACCAACACGGCTACCTACCTGAATCTAGAGATAAAAGCAATTCAATATCTCAGAGGCTAAAACCAGAGATGATGTGGGGCTATGGCAGGGACACTTGATCACAGTAAGTGCTATTGTAGAAAATGATTCTTATTGTGGTGAGAGAGTTGTAATTGCAAGGCCAACTCTTAGGTCAGATATAGAAGCCTGGAGTGCTACACTTGCTCACACCCCACCCACAGCCTAAGGCTCCCCAACTCTGGCATGGGAGGTGCAATGAACCTGTATTTTTCATTCAGTGGGCATTTTTATATGTTATGGATCTACTCTGGATACAATCCCTGGTCATGAACTTGCTGCATTGAAATATCATGCAGATTTGTTTCTACCTACGGAACGGTGTGTTATATAACCCTAGAAATTGCTACACAACTCCATCTGTCCTAAGAAGAACATCCTACATTGGGAGGGAGAGGTAGGATTTCTCTGGAGATGCAGAATTATGGCTATCACAACATAATGTGCAAACAAGCCTAAGGTATGTTAGAGACTTCTTTGCATTTTTGAAATTACTGTGGTAATTTACCTTCATTTCCCCAGAGTGTAATTGAAGAATTCCCAGGGGTCTCCATGCTGGGAATGGTACGCCATATGTTTACCCTTAGGAGGTCATGCAAAACTCTATTCTAGCTCCTAATTGATAGAATTACTTTATCACTATCTCCCAGAGCCATTAAGAATAGTTAGAATCCATCTCAAAATGGGAAGCAGAATTATTTTCACTACATTAAGGCTAGAAAGAAGAAGAAAATCAGGGAAAGTACCAGAAAAAACATGAGGAAAGTTACACATTTCTCTAGGAGGCAGAGGCGCCATCTTCTTAAGAGGATTGAGGGGACCCATGTGTGACACCCTGCACTGCCCCCATGACATCATGGGCACACCACTATGACATCACACATGTGGTGCTGTGCGCCTCTGTGCAATGTCATGAGGTGTGTGTGGCATTGCATGACACCCTGACATGGCGTATGTGATGCTGTGAGGAGCCAGGGGGCAGACTCAAACACCCCCTGAATATTGAGGGGACTTGGCCCCCTCAAAAATACTTTGGGGGGGCTGACACTGCCTCAGCCCCTAGGAGTTGATGTGTCTGCTAGGAGGTGAGTTTGTAGATGGGACCAAGAGTGAATACAGCCCCCAGCACACTTTGAGGTTCCTCAGAATGCCAGGTCACTCTTTGGAGCAGATCCCCATAATTCCAAAACAAACAGAAAAAGGAGAAGAAATGTTTTCCCATATAGTGCACAACAGTCCCTACAAGCAAAGTCCACTTCCTTCATAATCCATACTGCCATTCTTTCACCACAAGCAACCATTGTAAATGAGCTTCCTCTTAACAGGAATGAACTAGTGCTGGCTTTGGTCCTGACTTAATTATAACTCTGAGCCCTGGACTTCAGTTGCAATGCTAGCAAAGGGGTGGTATTTCTTGCTGACCTTTCTATTCCCTTTTTCTTTTTGCTGGGCATATGCTAGACTGTGGCTTTCTGCAACACTGTAATTAATGCATCAATTATTAGGGGTTGCAAGCTGTTCCCTCCCACCTTTCCATGTTGGAAGCCTATTGCAAAACCGCTGAGGACACTTGGAGGAAAAATGGGACGATGGACGTGTGAGCGAACAGAGACTTTAATCTCAGTGGATAGGAAAAGCAACTGCATTTCTGAGCCTAGATTTGTTGTTGTGATTTTAAATCCTTAACCATCTCAGTAGCTGTCAAATGGAGTCATGTTTCTGGGAGGAGGGGGATGTAAATACAGATGAGTGATGAAACTCTGGTTCCGAATTTCTCATTAATTCCCCAAGTGTTTTAACAACCAATCCCTTTTCAAAGGGAATTCTGGGAATTGTAGCTCTCGGGAGGAGAATAGGGTTTCCTAACAACTCTCAGCACATTTAGCAAACTACAGCTCTGAGAATTATTTGGGGGCAGCCATGACTGTTTAAAATGGTATCATAGTGCTTTAAATATAAATGCAGCACAGTACTCCAGCCTTGAGGCTGTCAGTGCACGATGGGAAGTTCTGCTTCTGCACATAAGTCTAGGAATGTTCAGTTCACATTGAGTTCATGAAACATTGTACCCTGACCTGTTCTTAACGCATTGTTGACCACATCTACGGAATGCGATTGTTATGCTCTTTCAAGTCATGCAATATCAATCACTAGTAATAGTTTAACAAGGAGGATTTCATACCTGTCTAACCATGTGTTCCCTTTCCCAACCTTTAATCTATTGATGATTAATGCCTATATACAACCCTTGCATTGTATTTGTGTTAACCAATCAGCAACAAGCACATTTGTGGCAATGCTGTAATATTCAATAAAAGGGACTCTCCGAGACATGCTCGGTAGATGCCTCCCATATGACACTTGTCACTCGTCTGTCGTTTATTTCAACCCAACATCTGACTGCCCACTCTATCCCTATCCATAAACAATCCCAGGAGGCAAACCCACCAAAACTGATAGATTTTATTGACATCCCAGCACCTCTGACAATATACAGGAAGGATTACAAGTAGCACACAGTCAATTTATAGCTTGTGTATTTCTGTAGCTATTGGCACTATCCCTATATCAAACAACTGGTTCCAAAATATAAAAATTCAGGTTTCATAAAATGTTCCTGAGGATTTTTTTAAAAAATTCAAATGCTAGTTTAAGTCTGAAGCATGGAACATCATATCTGATACAGATCAAAAGCAGAATAGAAACAGATGGTTTGGAAAACGTGCATTTCCTCCTGTTAATTCAAATATTAATGTCTCCTCTTGGGAAGCTTCTGTTGATTGTGTCTGGCATCTAAAGCAAGAATTTCAAAAGGGGAGGGGAATTTATCTTCTCCCCAGAGACAGTTCACCAACACTGTCCTTTTAGACAAAACAACCAAGTCTCTGCCATTAACATCTTAATTAATCTCCAGGCACAACTTCCTCAGCAGAGATGCATGTCGCATGAACGAGACCAAATTCACTCCAAAGGACAAGCGGATTTTTGAAGAGATCTACCTAAATGGCAGGATGAGCATGGATAGACCCGCCAGTCCTTTGTTTTTTCATCAAACAGAGAACCTTTCAGCACAGCATATGGCTTATATTCTCAGGATGCTTATCCAGCATAAAAACAGCAGCAACAACACTTCAGCTGACCTTTCTATTCATGCAACACTAGATTCCATTATTTCTCAACACAGTTCCATATAGGCATGATCCTTTTATTTATTTATTATGAACACCTTCAATCCCCAGCTTCAAAACCATGCCCTTACCAAAACCACCAGAGAAATCCTTTAGAACCAGGCATTTAGAAAACCTGGCTTTTGATTGCTGCTCGCAGCCCAGCCCTGACACAATCTGAATAGGGATGGAGGAGAAATTTGGTCCACTTTTCTTCAGCCTAAGAACTGCTGGATCATTCATGCCAATTGCCCATCAAGTCCAGGATCCTATTCTCACAGTGGCCAACCAGATGCCTGCAGGAAACCCACAAGCAGGAGGGCTTTCCACTCCTGTAGTTTATGCCTTCTTTTTTTGCCAAGGTGGCATCAGGGGAACTAGAATGACACCAAAGTATTATGGTTTATGGGTTCAACTTTATTGGTTACAGATGTGAGCAGTTTGGCTTACGCATTGGGGTGAAGCCAGGCTATGTCTTGACTCCTCTCCATCTGCAGGGGGTCCACTTAAGGGTAAACCACTGTGGTTTTTGTACAGAGCCTCCGGTCGTCTCACCGACTATTGACCCATATACCACTAATCCGCTGCCACCAACCAGGTCCTCCCCGGTAAATCACTTAGTCTCATTCAGGTTCTTAAGTTAACAAAGAAGAGTGTAGTTTATTGCAAACACAAATAAACTTTAACTGCATTCAAAACGTTGTTACTCTTTACCTTCTTAGTCTTATTTTATCCTGTCTCTAACTCTTCTACCTCCCCTCACACAAGAACCAAGAGCACTAACTCTCCATCTATTTCCAACTGTCTGCCAACTGCTTTCCCAACTGCCTTTCCCAATCAACCAACCAATTAAAACCTCGGGCAAAGCGTTTTATAAGCAGGTTTTATAAACTGGCTTTTCTATTGGTCTACCTATTAACTCTCTCTCTCCCCCTGTACAGACATTTTAAAAAAGAACAGGCAAATGCCACATCCACCAATAGGTGGCACCCGATGACTTACATCAAATAGGGGCACCCCAAGGGGTCCCTGTAGGGGCTGTGACATGGTCCTAGCCCATGTTCAGGCATCGGACAGGATTCACACCCAGATCCCTTTAACAGGATACTCTTACTGGGGAAGGGCAGGCAAAGGCTACAAATTCCCCTCCATCCAAACGAAGGCTTATCCAATGCCTAACCTCACAAAAGTTGTGATGATTGCTATTAGCTGGGCAAAAACCAAACGGCCAGTGCCAATTTGCCAAGTGGAAAAATTCCTACCCAGCCCCAACAATATGGTGACCAACAATTGTCTGTAGCAAGGTCATATCTGAGCAAAGCATGAAAAGAGGGTGGGTGGGTTGGGTGATCCAGGGATGGGGCGAGTGAGTGGGTGTCGGCCAGCCGCACCGTGGTTAAATCTCCCGCAACCACACACACTCTGGAAGCTGATTGGCTGGGGGCGTCCCACAAGGGGCAGATCCCTCAGCAATGATGATGCGGCCGGCATGACGCAGGAGAGAGGCGGCAACATTCTACCCTTAGGTAGAAGGGACCTGGCTGCCTTGCCACAACGCTGCCCACTGGGAAAAGGTGAGCGGACCTAGCAGACTAGCAAATCAACTCAATGCAATGCTCCCAAACTTGCTGGAGGAATGCAATGTCTTCTTATGTACACCGTATCTTTGTTTTGCAAAAACGTGAGCATCAGAACCCACAGGATACAAAATGGATGAATTGAAAAGCAATGTAAAGTGTGTATTTCTGTAAAAAGTGCGTATAACATGTGGGCAAATCAAATTTTTGTGGATTCTTTTGAAATAATCCACAAAAAAGTAGAATAGAATGGACCCACGGCTGATCGACTGAAATGGGACAGAATAAGCTGATCAGTGCATCCCAAGTCTGTAGGAAGTGAACCAGGAGTAGAGATGGAAGGTAAAAAATCAATTCTTGATAGATTCATGCAGGGTATCTGGCAGTTCCAACGCAACTGTTCTCATCTTGCATTGACTAACTCTTGAATTGAGTGTTCTCTTGTTTTTGAGCCTCCTGTGTATTGTCAGGGGTTTTTTTTTAAGTCCACTAATGATGTGTAAAATTGTACACCTAAAAGCACATATATTCAACATATGCTGCATATAAAAGAGTCAAGCCCTATGAAGTACTATCTTTCTGCAACATAATTTTATATGTATTAATATGCAAATGTTTTTATACTGCTATGTGCCTTTTTGTACGTATGCTGGTTACTTTAGGACACCTGGAATGTATATACATATAATATTATACATATAAAATGTTTATCATATGTGAAATTATTTGTATTTTTAGGAGAACCAGTAAAAAAATAATATCTCGCTTCTTGTCAAGCTCAGTGAGTGAGACAGGAATGGGGCGGGGGGGAATCAACATGGGTAAACTGAGGCCTATTTTTTTCAGAAAATTCCACCCTTAGCTAAGTCAGGAAGCAGAGGCTGTGGGACAAGTCAGCAGACAAGCTTAAGAATAACTAATACAGGAACACACCAGAGATCAGGAAGATCTTGTTGCTCATCCAGACTTCCATTTTTGCTGCATTTATAGCCACAGGTCCACAATTTAAAGTGTCGTATCTGGCCACCTTTACTGCTGAATTGGGGCCAAAACAAAACAAAACACTTGGACACGATGCTTTAAAATGCGGACTTGTGCTTAGAAGTTGCAGGGCAAAAGTTAAGTGTGGATGAACCCCAATATCAGTTAGAACAGGAGACCATTTTATACTCCCCTTTCTGGACTGCTGCCTGCAGGTCAATGGTTCACCACAAGGGGCACTAACACCTGCAGCATCTGTCATAGAACCACAGAATTGTACAGCTGGTAGGGACCCCGAGGGTCATCTAGTCCAACCCCCTGCAATGCACAGAGGGCAACACACAGTCCCACATCCAATTGAAAACCATACCGGACCCTGCTTTGCTTTGCAAATGTGCTAGCTGTTTTATTGCTGCATCTTTAATATGCCACATATTGCAATAGAAGATTTATTCTGCCTGCCGACATTTCAGCAAATGTTCAGAATGGAGGGACCCTGTTCTACCTGGTTATTCTCATTTATTCACAACCCTGCCATACATTCAAAGGTTGTGGAAAAAGGCCCCCCATATAATGTTTATTGGATTTTCTCTCAAAAATGTATTCCATTATGAAAGTTGGTGGGTTGGGTGAAGGGGCAGAAACTGAAGATAACAAGGAAAAAACAGACAGTCTTCTGTAAAGGAAAAAGTACCATAGGTCAATGTGTCATTTTAAACCATCAAAATATGTGATAGAAACAACAACAATTTTATGTTCCTTCTGCATCTTGCCTTTCATCTGGTTGACAGTGAAGGACTTTGTTTTAAATTACAGAATGCGGATATCAGTAAGGGATCTCAGTGAAAACTCTCTCTGCTGACATTGATCTTGGAGGTAGAGTAAGAACAAATGACCTACTCTGATTCTCTTCTGTCCATTAAGACTTGAACACAAGGAGTGTTGCTTTCATATTGGTGGAAGTCACAGCAGATGGAAGAAGTGAGACTACCAAAGAAATGCTATATTAGGAGCAGATTGCTAAAATCTACAGAGAATAACTGGGCCAGGAAATGTGAAACCAATATGCTAAATTATGGATTTCTTCCAGACAAACGGAGGGCTTTTGGCACTAATATAGCTAGGTAGAGGATAAAGCACAGTATAAGAGACACTGATGTTCACTCAACTCTGATATAGAATCATGCAATTTTCTCAGGGCTGTTGCTTTCTAAAATTATATCATGTCCTTCTTTGCATGATCTAATATTTGACTCTTCAAATCATGTCTGGACCATTCTCTGTTTCCGTTTATGCCAGTGGATCACCTGGAAGAGGTCTCATGGCATTCTATATTGAGCATCATGGCATTCTTGAGCCAATTACAGTGAGAAAAAACGCTTCCTGTCCTCAATTTAGGAGATAGTTGAGTGAAAAAGCCGCTTGCCACCAAGACTGCAGGGAGCGCACCCACCACAGGAATTACTGTATGACCAGCTTTTGACATCTTTTGTCCTCTAGAGGCCTCACCACAGTGGCAATTTCATCACCTGTGAATGGTTTGGTAACATTCAAGAGGGTACGTATTATTATTATTATTATTAATGTGTTTTTATTAAAGATTTTCTTGATTTACAAAAGTGTGTGCAATGTCTCTCTTGTATCCCCCCCCCCCCATCATTTACAAACCAGTTTCATTTGTTCAACATTAGGATGAAAAGGAAGAGGGCACTTATTATGGTTTAACCATTCAACAGCCAGGCCATTAGCAGCATAGCCGGATCACTTGTAGTTCTTCACAACACCTTTCTGATTGACTGGGCCTGCATAGAGAAGAGACCAAGCCACACTCTGCTACCTACAATCTACCCAAACTGTTGTTCCAAGCACAATGATGGGCCTCTTCTAAAGATGAAGAAACCATGCTTCTTATCAGAGTGAATCTACAGGCAGATTAAGTCAAGTAATTACAGGAGTCTAGCTTGGAGGGTTAAAGGGATGATATAACAGTGGTGGTTCCCTATTAGAGTTAGGAGCTGCTTGCTAGGAAGGATGGTGGTATGCACCTGGTCTCTTGGGAGTGTCACCATTGCCGCTTACCAGGAGGAGGTTGGAAGAGGTGAAGTGGTGGGGAACACCAGAATGGCTCAGCCGCTGCACCCACACTGTGGCAACCTTTCTGCTGCCTGCTGCCTCGCTCCTCCTCCTGGTAAGCAGCCGTCATTCCATTGCCAGAAGACCAAGTGCATTGATGGCTACTCCTGATCTGAGTCCCACTCTCATTGGCCCCTTCCAGCATGGCCAATGGTCAGCGATAACAGAAGTCTTAGTCCCGCAACGTTTGGAGGGCCACAAGCTCCCCCTGACCATGTTTCCCACTTACAATTCA